CCGTCTATCCCGTCTTCTCGTGTCGGGAGGTCCCACCATTTTCGACGGCCATTTGAAGAACGGAAGGTGTTGGATTTTGGACATAACCGCACTGATCGGCTCTATCAACTCTGTATATTTCTTGTTAGAGCGCCTCGTGCGCCTGCTGTCAACTTGCAGTTGTTCATTTTCTCGGTGAGAGCATTGGTCGCTTGATCGGCGGGAATCTCGTCACTTGTCTCGTTTGGCCCGATGCCGTGGTTCAGGGCTCTGAGGTGGTACAGAATTTATCGGCCGATCAATTTCATAAAGAGCTGTCTTGTTGGCCGTGTTCCCGGCTTTAACTCCCAAAGCGTTATCTTCCACTTTGTAGTATTCTTAAACTTTCTTCATCAACGACTAGACCGTCTTGGGGGGTCTTCTAGTCAAAAAACTGCGGAGAGCACTGTCAGGATGCAAACCCATTTTGAAGGCAGTGATGGCCATGGAGTCGTTGCAAGCGTTATCAACAAGATTAAAGCACTCTCAATAGCGCGCCGAATATGCTCTTAGTGTTTCTCCTGGCTGGATCTGCATTGCCCAGAGAGAGTCGGCTTGTTTCGGCTGGACCTTGTTGGTGATGAATCTGGCCCTGAAAGATTTCTGTAATTGATGGAAGCTTTTGATTGAAGCCGACTCCAGTTTATAATACCACCTGACAGCCAATGGTCCCAAACTGTTGGGAAATATTCGGCACATAAGGGCCTCGTCGTCTGCATGCAATGCCATGGCTTGCTTGTAGTGACGGATGTGATCGGTGGGGTCTAATTTTCCATCATAGAGACTGAATGACGGAGCTTTGAACTTTTTAGGCAGAACCGCCCTGGCGATCCGTCGCACAAAGGGATCATGCTAGTCTTCTTCATCTGAGCTGTTTCTTCTGCACTTATGCCTTATACGTGGACTCTCTTCAGAGGAACTAGAAGTTTTAGATCGCCCCTTCTTCTTGGGCTCCGGGGATAATGAGTCGGAGTTGCTATCAGTGTCTTGTCGTCGGGCTCGAGATCGTCAACCACCTGTCCTCACAGGTCATTTTGGGCCTTGGCGTACAGCTTGTTTGGACTTCGCCACCTCCAAGGCCAAATCCTAACGGAGACGTTCGTTCTCTGCGATCATGTTCTCCAACCTTTGTTCGTTTTGCTTTTCTTATTCCATGATCGTTTGCATTGCTTCATGCTCTGGAGTCAAGGGTGAGGCGAAGTTCAAAGCACGTCTTGCGGGGATAGTCTCCGGTCCAAGCATGTTTGTTGGAGTAAGGTCGTCTCTCTGCGTGGTTCATCAGTGACTATCGAAGGGTCTTCCGTTACACCCGCCATGGATGTGTTTGAGTATTCCCACAGACGGCGCCAATAGTGGAGAAGTGGTTTGGACTTTTGATCCTGGGGGAGGCTAATGATCCTTTGCTAGTCACCTAAAAAGGAACAAACACTCCGGTCGAGGGTGCCGGAATTAGCACTCCGACGGGTAAGTCAGTCTCTACACTTAAGATTACTTGTATTCTAAGTTAAGCATAATAGTTCTCACATACCTCTTTCTGGTTGATGTTCTTCTATTTATATATTTTCTTTCTTGGGCCTCAGGGCTGGACCTGCCTTTAGTTCGCCATTCGGCTTCTTTTAAAGCAAACTGCTTTTCACTCGGCCCCTTACCCAACCGGCCTTTTGACCGAATAGGGTAAGATTTGAAATTGCGCGACGAAGCCGAATACTATATCTATATTCCAACTCTCCAAGTTCAGCCATTCGGCCTCTTTACGATCCCCATTATTCGGCCCCCACACGATCCAATTCCAAATAAGCTGGATGAGCATGTGGGCAACCCAACGAAATCCAACTCCATTACCAACAGTCCACCCAAGTCCTCAAGCACTTGGGCCTAACTCGCAGTGGAAAGGCCAGTCCAGCCGCGATACTGGACTGGGCCGAGCTACAGGACCCATTCTATGGGCCAAACTGATGGGTCGAACCCCATCATCAGAACTAAAGTGGGCCGAATCCATACACAAATATCTGAATGGACCAGCCCATCCCAACAGAAACCTCGCAAAGGGCCGAGCCGGAGCACAACGGTGCCGAGCTGAGGGAACCTTTCAAAGAAACGTGGAAGCTATGAGTATATGCATGTGCAAGTTGCCACCTCAGCTGGTGCCCTACACCTAGAATCACGGAAATAGTTAAACCAGAGGAATGTGGTTTGTTATCAGCATGACTACAATGAGTATAACCACCTCTTGACAATTACCGGATGGTGCCCCACATAGGGCCATGCTAAAAGGAAACTTGGCAGCACCAGAGCTCCATAAAACCATCTTGGGAAATAAGCAAGGGACTCTATATATACTACATGAACTTCATATTGAAGGTAACTGATCCAAGCTGAACCCCACTTACTACAAACTCAACTCTCTACACTTCTTCTCCGATCACTGATTCCCACACCGGAGGGGTTATCCAGCCAACCCCAGCCGGCAGCACTTACGGTGCTTCTTCCTACAGGGACCTCAATCCTTGGATAGTCCAACCGAGTGCGGAACCCCGATCCACTTTCATCTAGTGCAGAATCCGGTACGCACAATTGGTGCGGTGAACGTGGATCACTTTGTCTCTGAGCTTTGTACTCAGTTTTGGTGATGGGGATTGAGGACGTCCCATCTTCGACACATACTCCGCAGATGGAGAAGACAAAGGACAAAGTCTTGGCACTCCCAACAGTCTTGGAAGAACAAACTGGAAACAATAACCGGACTCTCGAATCCATTGAGCATCGATTGCCCTTCGTTGGATGTTCTTCTTATCACTTTTTTCTGGAAAAGGATTACCGAGATCGAATCATAGACTCTATGGAAATGGAGATACAAGAGCTGAAAGCGCAACTCAAAAGGGTGCTAGGTGATCCAACGGAGAAGAAGACTGAAGCGGAGCCCTCTCGCTTACGATGAAGGAGCTTATCCAGAGAGCCACCAGTGAAGAAGTTCCCTAGAAATGAGTCTGGGCAACAAAGCCAGCCAATACTGGTACAGAGTGAAGCGGCGAGCAGCCACACCCGTGGGTCATGCCGGAGAAGGGCTAAGAGGCAGAAGATAGTTAGCCAACAGACCGAATACCCTCCTCAAGACCTTCGTACTTGGCTAATTGGCAACAAGCAGAACGAACAGCGTTAGGATCATCTGGACCGTACCATTCACCAGAGAGAGCACCGAGCGTTGGATAGGCTAGTCTCCTCACCATTCTCCCCAGAAATTGAGGCCATGAGACCCCTAAAGAAATTCACCTCCCAAAGTTCACGTCGTACGATGGGAAGTGACCCACTAATGCATATTAGCCACTATAGACAGATGATGTCTCTATGGAGCCGAGATGAGGTACTGATGTGCAAAGTCTTCCCATCTAGCTTGGGAGAAACCGAACTTCGATGGTTTGACCGACTCCCTGCTAGATCAATTTATGGCTGCAAGAAGCTCTCCGAAGAGTTCTTAGCTAGGTTTGTCTCCAACACTAAGATCCTGAAAGAGCCGGATACACTGTTCGGTCTCTAAAAGGAGCAGGAAGAAACGCTGCGTAGTTATGCAAGGAGGTATTGGGAAGAGTACAATGTCCTGGAGGAAAACGTGTGTAGTGAGCAAATGGCCGTTATGTCTTTTAAACATGGTCTGCGCCCAGAAAGTAAGTTGAGACAATCACTTACCAAGCGCCCGGCCATAGTATTGAAAGATTTGTGTGCAAGGATTGAGCAGTACGCTCGCCTCGAAGATGATCAGATCCCCATCGAGGTAGCATCAGTAGAACAGACAGCTCGGCACAAGAAGAGAACGGATCGAGGAGAAGCCCGAGGGCTCGCGCTGAATGAGGTGGATAAGTCCAAATCTCACAAAGCAGTAGTGACCATATTCAAGGAACCAATCTATCGAATCTTAGAAAAGATCAAGAGAGAGCCCTTATTTGTTTGGCTGCCAAAAATGTTGGGAGATCCGGCTCGGCATAATCAGAAGCTCAGATACTTCTATCACCAAGACAGAGGGCATATGACTCAGAACTATAGAGCGCTGAAGTAACACTTGGAAGACCTAGTAGTAGCTGGGCACCTCTGGGATTACATTGATCAGGATAAAGCAGCGATCGAACCGGGGAACCCACCACCAGAACCGAACATTGAGCACCCACCTCAGTTGATAATAAATGTGATCCATGGAACAGCGACCCAGGAACCTGAAGATGCACTGAAAGAGGAGATTGCTAAGGCTATGCAAATTTAGCAGGTCATGTCAATAAAGCCCGCATCGAAAAAGGTACGCTCGGCACTCAAACCCCCCTTGTGCACTGTTTCGCTTACTAGAAAGAATTTAGAAGGCATACAGCACCTACATACTGATGTATTGATTATAATTGTGGGAATTGGGAAATGGTTTGACGTAAAACAAGTCCTGGTAGATCAAGGTAGTACAACAGACATATTATATTATGATTTATTCAGAAAGCTTGGTCTCTCTAAGCAGCACCTCACCCCAGCGGCAGCTCCCTTAGTCGACTTCAACTCACAGCCAGAATGGCCACTTGGCAGGATAGTGTTGGGAGTTGTGGCAGGAATGAAGACCCTCCAGATAGAGTTTTTAGTCATTAATACACCTTCCCCTTACAACGCCATACTTGAACGTCCATGGATTAACCAAATGGAAGCGGTCCCTTCAACCTACCACCAGCTCATCTGTTTCCCAACGGAATACGGAGTAGAGCAGATCTCAGGGGATCAAATTGCATCCAAGCATTGCTTCATGGCGGCATTACAGGCCAAACAACTTTGTAATCGGGTACAGAAAGTGGAGGTGGCCAAACAACCAGTCTTGGAAGATGTACCCAGAGGAAAAGATGGTAGAGGATTTAAAGAAAGTCCTGGTAAAGGCGGATGATTCAGAAAAGCACTTCCTTATCGGTACCTCGCTAGGCGCTGATGAGAAACTTCAGCTGCTTGAACTGCTGAGGGCAAATATGGAGGTATTCGCATGGTTAGCATATGATACTCCAGGGTTGAACCTAGAGTTTGCTTGCCACAAACTTAACATCAACCCTTCCACTCGGCCTATTGTACAGAAAATTCGAAGGTCCTCAGTTGAGCACACTGAAGCAGTAATTGTCGAAGTCGAAAAACTCCTGGCATCAGGAGCGATCAGAAAAGTGCAGTACCCACAATGGCTGTCCAACACAGTTGTAGTAAAAAAGAAGAACGGAAAATTGAGAGTCTGCATTGACTTCACTTGCCTAAACAAAGCCTGCCCCAAGGATAGTTTTCCATTGCCTCGCATCGATCAACTGGTAGACTCAACAGCAGGGCATGGGCGCATGAGTTTTCTGGACGCCTATTGCGGTTACCACCAAATACCACTGTTCGGTCCAGATCAAGAGAAGACAACATTTATCACTCCAAGGGGAACTTATTGCTACAAAGTAATGCCGTTTGGCCTTAAGAAAATGGAACATAGTTCGATGGAAAGATCTTCAAAAAGTTTTGTGTCGACCTCAGAATCGAATATCGGAACTCTTCTCCAGGGTACCCACAAAGTAATGGGCAGGCATAAGCGTCAAACAAAACCATCATCAATAGAGTAAAGAAACGACTTGAACATGCAAAAGGAAAATGGGTTGAAGAGTTACCCTACGTGCTATGGGTGTACTGAACCACAGCACGGCGCTCAACGGGAGATACACCTTACCCCTTAACTTACGGATTGGAGGCTGTCATCCCACTCGAAGTAGGTCTCTCAACCCTCCGGTCTGAATTGTTTGAAAGCACCAGTAATAAGGAAGCTATTGCACAAGCATTGGATATGGCAAAAGGCCGAAGAGAAGCTGCATTGATCAGACTTGTAGCAAATCAGCAGCAACTTATCAAGAGTTTCAACCAAAAAGTTTTCCCAAGGCAATTCACACTTGGAGAACTGGTTTTGAGAAAAGTCATGGATCACAAAAGGGTGCCTGGCGAAGGGAAACTTAGGCCTAACTGGGAGGGTCCCTACAAAGTCACAGTTGTTACTGGAAATAGAGCTTACTACCTGGAGGATCTTAAAGGCCGAGCCATACCTCGGCCCTGGAATGTAGCAAATCTCAAGAAATACTATCAATAGAATTAAACCCCACCTTCTCTATCAGGATGTAAAGACTTTTACCTTTTGGCCAATACAAATGCCTCCCCACTTCTCTCAAGATTATCAAATTTTTTGTACTTAGCTTTGGTGTTAACCAAACAGAAATAGCTTTGATTTTTATCAAACGGAATTAGCTTTGGTACTAACCAAACAGAAATAGCTTTGATGTTTATCAAATGGAATTAGCTTTGATGTGAATCAAACGAACTCAACTTTGGTTTTAACCCAAACGGACTTAGTTTCAGAACGACTGGACGGAATTAAAATTTGGTTAGCACTAAACATGCAAAGTGGAACTGCTTGGTGGAGTTATGTTTGGCAACTAAATTGGACTTTAGCCAAGTGGAATTGCTTGGTGGAAATAACACTAACATATCTTAAGTAAACATCTCTGAGTCTACAAAATTTCTTAAGTATCGTCACATCAACACTTCAGTACTACTGCATACAAACAGAGTCGGAACAGACTAGGCTAAATTCTATCGGGAGCAAACTTCCAGCACCAATCTTACTCAACTCTAGCTGGGGGCAAACAATTGTTTTTCCAAACCAACCTGGACCTGAGTAAGACACCTCTTCATACCTTTATCCCATTCAAATGCACTTATGCTATCAAAGTTGCAGCAGACTTAAGCAGCTCTGCCTGGAGAGCACAGTCTTCAGCATTGATCTTACTTAGCTCCAGGTGGGGATGACCAATTGTTTTTTAGAACCAACTTGGACTTAAGTAAGACCCTCTTCCTTTCATTACAAAATCAAGCATAGTCATGCAACATATTCGTTAACCAGACCGAGTATCTATTCGGCCCCGAGGTCCCAACAGTGCTCGGCTGGGGGCAAATAGTGCAAAACTAGACGAAGCATCTATTCGAAACAGTACAGAACCAGACCGAGCATATGTTCGGCCCCGAGGTCCCAACAATGCTCGGCCGGGGGCAAATAGTATAGAAAACATTAAGATATAGAGGCCATATAGTATCAGATTGCAAATTCAAAAGGAAAATTCCATTATCCAACAAAGGCATAGATGGCGTCATAGCCAGCAAGAAAAGAAAAGAAAAAAGAAAAATTGTCTTGGCAAGTATAGAAAGGAAACTCGTTATGGGGACCGAGCCGCAGTACATCAAAACAAAAGTCTAAAAAAGCAAAAAATTCAAATCTTTCCAAAGAAAACTTTAGGTTTCATCAACAGAGGGAACCTCAGAAGCAGCATCCATGATCTTGTCCAGGCTGTCTTGGGGAGGAAAAGTAGAGGCAGCTCCAACTTCCTGAGAAGTGAAAGCTTCCTTAACCACGTCTCTCGTGGCTTTAGTCTTCGGGGTTCCACCCCCTTCAACGTTCACTGTTTCAATGGCAACATCACTGTCTTGAGTCTTGTTTGCAGAATCAATTTCTGGGAAAACTTTAGCCGGAAGAACCGTAGGGGTAGAGACAATCTTTGAGCCCAAGGATCTTGAGGGAACTGGGACATCCTGAAACATGTGAGAGCCTTCAGGAACTAGGGCAGCGGCTAGAGCGCTCGACAAACCCTTCAGAAAGAGCTTGTCTCGCAGCACCAGCACCTCCTCTTTATAGGCAGCCCCAGCCTTATCCCAACCTTGTTGCCAGTACTTGGCCTCCAACACAGAGTGCTCGGCAACCATCACCACAATAACAGCCTCCAGCTCTACCACTTTTCCTTCAAGTTGAGCCTGCGCCCCAATGGCAGCCTCCTTTGACTTTTCAGCTGAAGCAACAATCTTGTTCAGACAGAATGCCTCCCTTTCGGCAGTTCTGCATCCTTCCTTCTCGGCCTCCAGGCTCACCGTCAGTCTTTCAGCGTTCGCTGCCTCCAGCACGGCCTTTTCCAGTTCTTCCGCGTGGGTGATGGACAAATGCATCCTCTGAATACACTAGAACGGATTACAGAGTATTAAAAGAAAGAAAGCAGTAGCATAACACCCAAAACAAGCAAAGTAAGAATGCACTTATAGCAGTCATCATCTGCAGGATCCCCTTCAAAATAGGAATATCGCGAGGCCTATTATGGTCAGCTATGTCGACCGGCATCAATAGAGTCTTGGTCAAGTCAAAAGCAAAATCTTTGGAGGCAACAACCGAATTAGAGATAGAAATGGGCCTGCCTTGATGCAGCATCGGCGGTTTTCATTTCTCAAGTGCTTCGTCCGCAATAGGATCTTCAGAAGCTTCCCCTACCACTGCCTTGCCAGTCTCTCTCCTCCTTTTTTTTGCCCTCGCAACAACCGAAGTGGAGGGCTCGGCAATAGTAGCGTGAGTTCTAGAAGCTCCCACCTCGAATTTCACATCCATGAGGCTCTTCGCCTCGGCCTTCAACAAAGGGGTCTCCAAAGCTTCAGAGTTGCCAAAAGCCTCAGCCTCCAAATCCACTAGCACTCTTCTCTTTGACACGGACCCACCCCCTGCAAAACTGGGGGCAGGAGAGGGCGTCCTTTCAGGCAGTGCACCATGGCTCTAGCGGCGATTCGTAACCAGAGGGGTGAGGGATGTATCAGTCTCAGTCTTAGAATCTATAAGGGATGCCGCAAGCCTCACCTTCTTCAGAATGACGAAGCGGTAAGTCGCTTGGTAATCCAACAACTCTGCTGCGGACCTCTTCTTGTACCACAGAACAGCTTTGATGGCCTCAGCGTTTTCCCGGTTTGACCTTCGCTGAAAACGGGAAGCCTTTGCCAAAAAAGGAGTACCATATCAGAGCAATATCCAAAACAAAGACAAGAAATACAAAAGACACTAGAGGTAGGATTCGAACCTGGGTAGCCATCCTTTAAAGGCATCCGTTCGGACTGGAATTCAGTCCCAGCAAGGAACTCCCAGTTGCCACCAACTTGCAAAAAATCATCATTGTGCTTATCCGAATCAGGCAAACCAGTCACCTGATGACAGTCGATCGAACGAACACGCAGAGAGTACGTGCTGTGATCCTTGTTGTGCGAGAGAGTGTAGCAGCCTAAAATGTCCCAAATATCGAGATTCAAACCTAACCGCTTGTTCAGAACGGACACACCACAGACGACACAAAACAAGTTAACAGACACTTGCATTGGGGTGAGTTGAACCTGGTGCAGAAATCGGCACACCCAAGGGTCGAGAGGGAAACAAATCCGTCCCTCAACGATGGATGCAATCAGAAAGGCGGCAGTATTCCTAGTGCCCATATGCTTGGCATCGACCTTTGCCAGCGAAAGGGTCACGTCATCGGGGATATTGTAGTCATGACGGAACATGGCCATGGCCTTAGGAGTATCAACTAACGAGCAAAACTTTCCCATTAAACCAAACCTAGTGGTACAGGGGCAGTACTCAGATAATAGGGTATGGAATACAATGGAGCAAGGGCCAAACGAGATGATTAAAACAGAAAAAGATAGGGGGAGAAGGATCACAAGAGAACTTACAGAGATCATAGCAGCGGTGGCAAACGGGTGGCGCTGAAGCAAGAGCGGCAGCAGAACGTCTGGACAGAGCACTAACGAGACAGCTCAGAGGAACATAAAGGGTTTTTTGAAACTCGCTAGAAGAATGAAAAGCAGATAAAGGGTTTTGAGGTGATAGCCCAGAGCATATATTGCACCAGCTGGCGTGAAGGTACACGAATCACGACCATCGGTATGGAATCGACGCACTACTTCTGCACACCTATCCCATGCCGCCACGTGTCACCATGAAAGGATGCATGCAGAGGTTGTGTGTTAGGATTGAATCGTCACCAAGGCCGAACTAGGGCAGAACCAAAGCGACATGATGCTTGGAGTGCAAAACAATAGCTCCCCCCAAGGGGAACCTTAGCGCGAGTTAGGGGGCAAACGAAGGGACTAAATAAGAGATGGTTCGGACCCAAGCCTTGGGCCAGTCTAATCCCCTAAGCCCAAATCCAAATGGGCTGGATGAGCATGTGGGCAACCCATAGAAGTCCAACTCCATTACCAACAATCCACCCCAGTCCTCAAGCACTTGGGCCCAACTTGCAGTGGAAAGGCCAGCTACAGTACCCATTCTATGGGCCGAACTGATGGGTCGAACCCATCTTCAGAACTAAAGTGGGTCAAATCCATGCACAAATATTTGAATGGACCTGCCCATCCCAATAGAAACCTCACAAAGGGCCGAGTCGGGGCACAATGGTATCGAGCAGAGGGAACCTTTCAAAGAAACGTGGAAGCTATGAGTATATGCATGTGCAAGTTGCCACCTCAGCTGGTCCCCTACACCTAGAATTATGGAAACAGGTAAACCAGAGGAATGTGGTTTGTTATCAGCACGACTACAATGAGTATAACCACCTCTTGACAACTACCAGATGGTCCCCCGCCTAGGGCCATGCTAAAAGGAAACTTGGTAGCACCAGAGCTGCATAAAACAATCTTGGGAAACAAGCAAGGGACTCTATATATACTACATGAACTTCACATTGAAGGTAACTGATCTAAGCTGAACTCCACTTACTACAAACTCAACTCTCTACACTTCTTCTCCGATCACTGATTCCCACACCGGAGGGGTTATCTGGCCAACCCTGGTCGGGTAGCTCTTACGATGCTTCTTCCTGCAGGGACCTAAATCCTTGGATAGTCCAACCGAGTGTGGAGCCCCGATCCACTTTCATCTAGTGCGGAATCCAGTACGCACAAATGAGACATTTTAGCAAATTAATATACAAATATAACATTTAGCAACGTTATATGTAATAACATTAAATACAAAATGATCTAGTTATAACTTTACATTGAGACTAATTATTTTAAAACATGTCCATTAAAAGACATTTAATAGCAGAAATGCCACCGTCATAAAAAAAACAAAAACATTAGTAGCACAGTTAAATATATCAACATGAGGTAGGCAAATAAAGCTATTAAGCAAAATTGTCAATGCATAGTAAGCCCAAGAATACAAAATGCAACAGAGATGAATCAAGATCAGCAAGGCAGCCATATCCCAAAAGGCACATATGGACGTAA